TGGGATTGCAAAATGGTGCAGCTACTATGGAAAACAGTTGGGCGGTTTCTCAAAAGTTAAACGTAGAATTATCATATTCCACTCTTACTTATATACCCAAAGAATTGAAAGCAGGGACTCGAAACAGATACTTGTATATCATTATTCATAATAGTATTCACAATAGCCAAAAAGTGGAAGCAACTCAGATGTTCATCAACAGATGAATGGATAAACTACATGGTAAATGTATAATATGGAATATTATGAATTTTAAAAAGGAATGAAATTTTGGAGCCTGCTACAACATGGATGAACTTTGAAAACATTATGCTAAATGAATAAGCCAGTCACAAAAAGACATAGATTGTATGATTCTACTTATGTAACATATATAGAATAGGCAAATTCACAAGCCATGGAAAGTAGGAAAGAGATTACTAGGGATTGAAGGGAAAGAGTGTGAGGAATGGTTGTTTTATGGGTACCGAGTTTCTGGTTGGTTTGATGAAAGGTTCTGGAAATCAAAATGGTGATGGTTGTACACGCTGGGAATGTATTTAATGGCATTGAGTTGCATATGCTAAAATGGCATATTTTGTATTATGTTAAAAAAAAAAAGAAGGAGAAATGGAGGCTGATGAATGTTAACAAGTGGGGTCAGTGTACCAGAAGTTTGTAGTTGGAGAACCTAGGCATTGAGAGTAACTCTAGAGACAAGGTTGTGATAAGAAGTTGGGGGTATCTAATTGATCTGAGAGGTGACATTCCAAGTCAAATCTCTTTGTGGTGTGTAACCCTTAGGGAATTGGAGCTTGGGAGACAGCAAAATTCAAATTCTAGACTGTCGTTTTTTAGCTGTGCAATTTTGTCATTACTAGAACTTTCTGAACCTTTTCTATGTTAAGTATTGTTAAGTGGACAAATAAACCATAATCGTCAGAGTAAATGTGAATATTAAATGAACATATGTTTAAGAAAAAAGAAAGTAGAAGTTCCAGCACTTAGGAAATTTAAAATGAGAAAAATAGAGGAAAAATACTTGAGGAAATAGATTGTTTTCCCAGAATTAAAGGGAGATGAAAGATTGCAGATTTAAAAGCCAGATAGAATACCAAATATTAAGTTACAGTTAAGGAAAAAAAAACACACCTAATCACGTTATACTGAAATCTAAGACTGTCAAAAATAGAGAAGCCTAAAGCTTACCAAGAAAATTAATAACATTATTAAGGACCAGAATTCAAATTGTCACCGTACTTTCAACAACAGCATAAGCTGCAAGAAAAAGAGTAATACATTTGGAATATTGAAGAGAGTATTGAAAGAAAATAACTTTGAACCTTGAATTTTATAAGGAGACAGTTGTCATTCAGGTGTAAGAGTATGATTAAAATATTACATATTTTAAATAAAACAGAAAAATAGAAAATAAAATATAAATAAAAAAATAAAATATAAAATAAATATATAAATATAATATAAATATAAATATAAATAAAATATAAAAAAATAGAAAATAAAACATATTTTAAATAAAACATTTAAAATATTACATATTTTAAATAAAACATAGAAGACCTTTAAAGATTATTCATACAAAGTCTTACATGGGGGACATTTCTGTAGGAAGAACTCAAGCGAGCAGAGAAACAAATCTAGCAGATGCTATTAGATCTATTTGGTGTATACATTAAAGAGTGTAAAGAATGCTCAAAATACTAAAATAAAGATTGTTGTCTTAAACAAATTAGCCACAACCAGAGAAAGAAATAAGAGAAAGCATGTTCATAAACATGAGGATTGGCTGAGATCATGGGAATGAGGGCATGGTAAAATTCTTCTCTTGGTAAAGGGATACATGGATAGCACTTTATCAGAAAGAAAGGTGGTAAAAAGTGCAGGAAAAGCAAAAATAGAAGTTGAAATAAAGATCCATTAAAAGGCAGAGATTGATGATTTAGTAAAAAAATTGTGTATGTTTGGTATGTGTATGTGCATGTATATATTTTACAAGAAATACCCTAAATCATAATTTAAAGTTACATAGGAGGAGGGGCATGGATAGGAGTGTATGAAAATCATTGAAAATTGAGATCCCAATAATGCTTTTGCTTATGTGGGTTGTGTCTATTGATAGTTACCTTATTTTTTTTAAACATGGTAACTTATTTTATGCGGTTGTTTAAATCCATTGCTTAAAAATGTTCAAAAGGCACTTTAAAAAACATATTTAAAAGTACAGTTTTTTCTGACTTATTGGTGTATCTCTTAAAATACCACATTAAAAAAATTTTTTTTTATTTTATTTTATCAGTGTTCCAAGATTCATTGTTTATGCATCACACCCACTGCTCCATGCATACATGCCCTTCATAATACCACCAGGCCCTCCGAACCCCTCACCCTTTTCCCCTCCAAAACCCTCAGTTTGTTTCTCAGAGTCCACAGTCTGTCTCAGTCACCCCCTCTAATTTCCCCCAACTCACTTCTCTCCACCTAATGTTCTCTGGTCATTACACATTTTTAAAGCATTCATAATACTATTACCTTACATAATTTTTAAATTCTAAAACGCAAGTGTACACTGTGTAATATAACATACTGCTTAGCCAGTAAGATTAGTTTCTCTCTAATACATACTTTATATGGATTATTAATTGGTAGGGCCCTGAAAAGTTATTTATTTATTTATTTATTTGACAGACAGAGATCACAAGTAGGCAGAGAAGCAGGCAGAGAGAGAGGATGAAGCAAGCTCCCTGCTGAGGAGAGAGCCTGATGCGGGGCTTGATCCCAGGACCCGGGGACCACGACCCAAGCCAAAGGCAGAGGCCTTAACCCACTGAGCCACCCAGGTGCCCCCTGAAAAGTTATTTAAACTGAACTGATATAAACTAAAAACTAGAGAGGTAAAAGGAGTTGAAACAGCACTATTCACTTCTGAAACTACTTTTAAGAATTGATTTCTCTAGAGAAAACTTGTAAAGTTTTTTACTCTAATCTGTATTAAAACTTCTATTTCAACTCCAATATATAAATGTAAGTCATATTTTTAAATCAGTAGAGATTACATAGCATAAAATAAACCATAGTTTGTCCCCCAGATTGCTTAAGAATGTTTCTATCAAGCCTATAATAGAGAAATGAGGCAGATGAGTTTTTTGGTTTGTTTTTGAGAAAAGAGGGTCAAGGGAATGGAATCCAAATAACTTTAGTTCATTAGTAATTGTATATCCAGAATTAGTTTAAAACTGTAGACTTCTAAGTAGGGCAAGTATCCTGAGAGCCAGCAGGCATTACTCTCAGATTTTTCACTTCCAATCTCATAGGGAAATCTAAAGTTAATAGGCATAAAATTATTAGTAAATTACTGATAATTACCTTATTAGAAATTAAAACTGAAAAATTAAGAAAATTTATCTATTGGTTAATTTTAAGTAGTAATCTACCCCTTGTGTTATAAGTAACATACAAGTATTTCTTTTAAAGATTTTATTTATTTTATTTGACAGAAAGTAGGCAGGTGCGTGCAAGAGCATCAGGTGGGGGGAGGGCAGAGAGAGGGAAAAGCCGACTCCCCAGTCAGTGGGGAGCCTGATGCAGAGCTCGGTCCCAGGACTCTGAGATCATGACCTGAGTCAAAGTTAGACACTTAACCCACTGAGCCATCCAGGTGCCCTAGTAACATACAAGTATTTTTTTTTTTTTTAACATACAAGTATTTTTGTGAAAAACAGCTATTTTACTAAACAAAGAATTTAGTGAGAAGAGTAGCATTGTCTTATGCATTTTTGTGTATCTCTTTAATGTCTGGTCTAAGAGAACATACTTAGGTCCTCATTTCTGCTTCTGCATTTATTCTGTTGCAATATATTGTTTTAATTGAGTTTCTACATGAGGAGAATCCTAGGGACCTTATGGATCTTTTAAAAGTATTTGGGGAAACCTTTGGGTCCTGAGACCACACTCTTGAGAACTGCTTTTTCCAAACAAGTTTCTTTGCTTATTCCTGACCCTCCCTCCCCACTTGGTATCTTCTCCATTGATGTCTGTATTTTTTCATTGTCCCATAATTCCTCCCACCTTCCATTTTTTATCTGCTCTTTTCTACCTTATATGGTTTTCCATTTAAGGCTGATCTCCAAGTTTTCACTGATGATTCTAATCTCTGTGACTATCTTGTCTCTAAATCTGTTGGCAAGTATGTAGTTAGTTCCACATGATTCATACTTCAGTGTTCTAAGTTTTCTTGTGTTTCGCTTTCCAATCACATTATAAAGCATCTTTGAATTAGGGACTCTTAAAAATTAGCAAGACAAAATAAGAGTTTCTCCTTACAGTGTTTAGTACAAGGTGATGTTTCTTGGTTGATAGGAAGTAACACTTTCTGCAAAAGTGCATATACATCACAAATTCTCTTTTGGCCTTAAGTAGTTTACTTGGAAATTATAGTATCTTACAAGTACCTGATATATGGCAGTATTTTTGGTATTCCAAGTAATTTTTTAAAAATAGATTTTGTAAAGATTTGTTTATTTGAGGGGCGCCTGGGTGGCTCAGTGGGTTAAGCCGCTGCCTTCGGCTCAGGTCATGATCTCAGGGTCCTGGGATCGAGTCCCGCATCAGGCTCTCTGCTCAGCAGGGAGCCTGCTTCTCTCTCTCTCTCTCTCTCTCTCTGCCTGTCTCTCTGTCTACTTGTGATCTCTCTCTGTCAAATCAATAAATAAAATCTAAAAAAAAAGAAAAGATTTGTTTATTTGAGAGAGAGAAGCATGTGCACGAGCCAGGGGAGGGGCAGAGGGAGAATCTCAAGTAGACTCCCTGTTGAGTGTGGAGTCCGGTGTGGGGCTTGATCTCAGGACCCTGAGATCATGACCTAAGCTGAAATCAAGAGTCGGATGCCCAACTGACTGAGCCACCTAGAGCCCCGAAACCTTGTATAACTAAAACTATCTCCAGTTCAGGCTTGTTGATCTTGTGAGTCATTTGTTGATTAATTTATTTTCTTACCATTTCAGAAAAAAGCCAAAGGACAAGAGCTCTTTGATCAGATAATGTACCATTTGGACCTTATTGAAAGTGACTATTTTGGACTGAGATTTATGGATTCTGCACAAGTAGCAGTGAGTAGCTGTTTTTTGGAAGTTCCAGTGTGGGAGCAAAAATGGAAAATTTCAGATGACATGCTAAGTGCTAACAAGGCTGTATATTCTTACTGCATTCTCTTTTTCTTCTGATTTTCTTATTATGGTCTGAAGTTTTGACCATTTCAAAATAACCTGAAGCGTTTGTTAAAAAAATATGAGTCCTGGCCCTAGCCCATATCATTAGAGCATGATCTTTCCAGCCAAGCCCCGGAAATCTGTCTTTTTAATAACCACTGGGTTGGTTGTTGGGCATACTAAAGTTTGAGAATCCCTGTATAATGGAAAGGGAGCTAAAATAGGAGATTTGTGGGTTCTTGCGTAAGTGATAGAAGTTACTAATTTGCAAATTAAGGTGAGTAGGTTAGGTTATCTTTAAAATCCCTTCCCGATCTTTGATTCTATAAATGTTCTTTGACCATGTGCTTTTCACATGAGAGGAATGTGTATATGATAGGTAGGAAGTTGGAAGCTTTTCAGAGATCTGTTATACTAGGATTTGACTGGAGAGTGTTTGAGACAAAGTACTAGATGATAAGATTAGAAGGTGGTTTAGTGGCCTTATCATCCAAACTGAATACCAAGAGTATTAAATAATAGATGGGCAATATTTATTCTCTAATAATTGGGATTAGGGTTATTTTTGAGCAAGGAGGTCATATTTTGCTTCAGGAAGTATTATATAGAAAAACTATATAGGATTATTTGGAATGGGCAGAGATTGAAGTCAGAAAGAGTTATTGCAGATCCCAGAGATAAAAGTAATATTAAGGCCTGGAATAGGACATTCACAGTAGCAGGGAGGGGGTGGGGCGGGAGTAGAGATAAGGGTATTAAGACACCAAGCTCTGTGTTCTGGAAGTATGTGATGGAGGAGTGTGTATGTATGTGTATGTGATTAATTGTAGTATCTAGGACTCACAGGAACAATATATAAGAAATCTCAAGTTCTTTTTGGAGTGGGACATTCATTCATACATTCATTTGGTGTGATTAATAAATAAACTAGAATACCTCTGTAAGATAATATTAAAAACTCACACCTTTTGGAGATGAACTCCTTTTGTTGGCTTTATAGAACATCTTGGCTAAATTTACCACTGTTAATAATGCTAGCTACAATTTTTTTTTTAAGATTTTATTTATTTATTTGATAGATAGAGATCACAAGCAGGCAGAGCAGCAGGCAGAGAGAAAGAGGAGGAAGCAGGCTCCCTGCCGAGCAGAGAGCCCAGTGCGGGACTCGATCCCAGGACCCTGGAACCATGACCTGAGCCGAAGGCAGTGGCTTTAAACCACTGAGCCACCTAGGCGCCCAATTTTTTTTTCTCTGATTTCCATACCCTTAGTCCCCTTTCCTGAGTTAAAAGAAATTAAGCATGAACATTTTGTAACAAGCATACTGGTTACATTTTGGCACACCCATACAATGGAATACTCTGCAGCTCATTAAAAATGGTGACTTTTAAAGTGTACTAATTGACATAGAATAATGTAGGAATAAAAGGGTTACAGAACAATATATTTGAGTATTTTTATTTAAAAAAAAAAAGAGGGGTGCCTGGGTGGCTTAGTCCTTAGGCGTCTGCCTTTGGCTCAGGTCATGATCCCAGGGTTCTGGGATCGAGCCACACATTGGGCTCCCTGGGGAGGCCTGCTTCTCCCTCTCCCACTCTGCCTGCTTATATTCTCGCTCTTGCTGTGTCTCTGTCAAATAAGTAAATCTTAAAAAAAAAAAAAAAAGTGGCTATATGTACACATATATGCATGAAAATATTTGCAAAGCTATTTCCCATAGTTTCAGAGTTCTCATCTCTGGATGGAGTTTGTAGAGGAGGTTTTTCTTTTATTTTTCATTTTAATGTTATTTCTCTCCAGTTGGACTAAATCCATTGAGGGCTTCCTCATTGAAGCCTAATTCCAATAATGGAATTACAGTCTTGCAATCAGTGAAAAAATAAATGATGTTAGGGATAAATAATTCAAAACTTCCTTTTTTTTTGAGGGGTTGTGAAGGAAAAGAGGTAGAAATATGCCAGCATTAAGTTTCAGGTACCTTCTTTCCTTAGGGTACATAAATACAGTAGTCTCTATCCATGGTTTCACTTTCCATGGTTTCAGTTACCCATGTTCAACCCCAGTCTGGAAGCAGATGATCTTCCTTCTGACAGAAAGTCATTGGTAGCCTAAAGCTACATCACAGTGCCTACACCATTCACCTCACTTCATTTCATCATGTAGGTGTTTTATCATCTCATGGCATCATGAGAAGAAGGGTGAATACAGTACAGTAAGATACTGTCAGAGAGACCACATTCACAAAATTTTATTATGGTATATAGTTATAACTGTTCTATTTTATTACTAGTTATTGTTATTAATACCTTACTGTGCCTAATTTATACGTTAAACTCTAAAAGTATATATAGGAAAAAATATAGTATATATTGGGTTTGGTACTATCTGTGGTTTCAGGCATCCACCAGGGGTCTTGTAATGTATCTTCCACAGATAAGCGGTGGTGGTGGGGGGTTGGGGAGCTATTGTAATTGGGGGAAAGAAATAGACATGCAGCTTTTGGTAAGTTGTTTTATTTACTCTTTGTTAATATCAGTAATTACTGAATTACTAGATCCATTAATTTTTTCCCCCTCATTTGATACACATATAGTGCCTTTCTTTTGGTCATAATAAGTTTTTAGTAAAGCCAGTATTAGAACTCTTTTTTTTTTAAGGTTTTATTTCTTTAACTATTTCTATACCCCACATGGGTCTTGAACTCATGACCCTGAGATCAAGAATGCAACCACATGCTCCTCTAACTGAGCCAGCTAGGCGCCCTAGAACTTTTAATCCCTACTCTTTTTAGTTGTAACTTATCCTTTCCAAACCCAGAAATCTAGGCATTAAGATTAAATTTTAGTAAGATTTACTTTATGTTTTCGCTGTTACTGAAATACACTATGTGCGTTGAATTGGAAAAACAATAGCTGGTAGATGAAAGCTATTCAAAATGACCTCTAGATAAAATTTTACATGTTCTTGGGGCTCCTAGGTGACTCAGTGGGTTAAAGGCTCTGCCTTTGGCTCAGGTGATGATCCCAGGGTCCTGGGATCGAGCCACATCGGGCTCTCTGCTCAGTGGGGAGCCTGCTTCCCTTCCTCTCTCTCTGCCTGCCTCTCTGCCTGCTTGTGATCTCTGTCTGTCAAATAAATAAATCTTCAAAAAAAAAAAAAAAACCCAACTTCACATGTTCTTAAAGTGCTGACTCACACAATTCTACAATTTTATGACATCAGTAAGCATAGAAAAGACTCTCAGGTATTTGTCATGTGGCCAGATTTAACCCCAGAATAAAACAAAATTGATACTTTGCAAACAGGTCAGTTTATTGGTGAAGATAGTAAAACTCGATCAAGTGAAGTTTTTGGCTAGGGTCATCTGTGTAAACTAAGTTAGCCCTATGATTTTAGTGTCTGTTTGTCTTATTTAGTGTAAGGGTAGAATCCAGAGAATGTTGAGGCAGGGTAAAAAAATGACCAAAACCAGATTAAGACACTACATAAAAAGAGAACTATGGGCCAACATCTCTGATGAACAGAGATGCAGAAATCCTCAACAAAGTGTTAGCAAACCAAATCCAACATCATTCACTACAATCACTTGGAATTTATTCCTGGGATGCAAAGGTAGTTCAGTATTGGCATATCAATCAGTGTGATACATATCAGTAAGTACAAGGATAAAAACCATTTGATCATTTCAGTAGATGCAGAAAAAATGTCTGACAAAGTACTACATCCATTCATGATAAAAGCCCTCAATAAGGTAGATTTAGAAGGAACATACCTCAACATATAAAGGCCATATGTGAAAAACTGACAGCTAACCTTATACTCAATGTTGACAAACTGAGAGCTTTTCTCCAAAATCAGGAACAAGACAAGGATGTTCACTCTCAACACTGTTATTCACCATAGTACTGGAAGTCCTAGCAATCAGGTAAGAAAAAGGATTAAAAGGCATTCAAATTGGTGTGGTTTTTTTTTTTGTTTGTTTGTTTTTTAAAGATTTATTTATTTATTTGAGATAGAGCAAAAGAGAAAGCACGAGCAGGAGGGAGAGGGAGAAGCAGACTCCCCACTGATCAGGGAACCTGATTCGGGGCTGAGTCCCACGACTTTGAGATCATGACCTGAGCCAAAGTCCTATACTTAACTGACTGAGCCACTCAGGTGCCCCAAAGGCATCCAGGTGAGTAAGGAAGAAGTAAAATTTCAACAATTTGCAGATCCATGATATTATATATAGAAAGCCTTAAAGACTCCACCAAAAAACTATTAGTGCATTTCTATACACTAATAATGAAGCAGTAGCAGGAGAAATTAAGAAAGCAATCTCAGGTACAGTTGCACCAATACCTGGGAATAAACTTAACCAAGGGAGCGAAAGACCTGTAACTATAAAACATAAAACTGTAAAACATTGATGATAGAATTTGAACAACACAAAGAAATAGATTATTCCATGCTTATGGATTGGGAGAACAAATTCTGTTAAAATGTCCATACTACCCAAAGTAATCTGTAGATTTAATACAATCTCTATCAAAATATCAATAGCATCTTTTACAGAGCTAGAACAAATAATCCTGAAATTTGTATGGAACCACAGAAGACCCCAAATAGCTAAAACAATCTTGAAAATGAAAGAGCTGGAGGTACCACAATCCCAGATTTCAAGTTACACTACAAAGCTACAGTAATCAACATAGCATGGCACTGGCGCAAAAATAAACACATAGGTCAATGGAATGGGATAAAAAGCTCAGAAACAAGCCCACAATTACATGGTCTTTGGCAAAAGCAGCAAGAATATACAATGGGGAAATCAGCCTCTTCAACAAATGATGTTGGGAAGATTGGACAGCTACATGCAAAATAATGAAACTGGATCACTTTCTTAAGCCATACACAAA